ACCCATACCGTAGGTAGACTGTTTTGATAGTGTGCAGATCTTATCTTCACAATTAAATTGTGATTCTTATAAATTCTTATAAATACAAGAATTATATGCCAAGCTTGAAGCTCGCTTTGCTGGTGCTTCTTAGCTTGCCAATGAACTTGGGGGGAGGATGGGGAAACGGAATGCCAGCTACAAAGCAGCGGTGGGGGGATTCAGCCGGTTCACACCACTTCAGCAGAACCGGCAGCTAATTTTTTGTTGCCCAGGCCCAAAATAGACTTCCAGAAGCGGCATCCACACAGAGAACCGGTTGTTCAATATTTGAATCCCACCACTGCTACAAAAATAAAGAACACAGACCATGAGAATCAAGGACGATTCACCAGGTGTCTAACCTGACTCAGACATTTTCTTAAAACAATATAATTGCACCTAATTGGGCAATGTGACCTGTTCATGGATGGGAGGTGGAATTCTATACTTTTACTATAGGGGTATGGGCTGGGGTTTGCCAGAGCTGGTTTTGCTTTTATATGTGCTGAAATGATATATTCAATAAAGTTTTACATTAAGAGATTGGAATGTCTCAAAGGTGTTTGCTTGGCTGGGCTCATCAGTCAGAACCTTGACATTATAATTATATTGAGTCAAATTAAAGAATTATAAGAATTAAATATATTTATATTTAAATAAAATCTAGGTAACTGAAACTTTTACCCATTATTTCTGCTCCAAATACCTTTGGCAGTGGAAAATATTTTCTGACCATTTTCTCTATGGCACCTTCCTGTGTACCTGAACCTGTCATCCTTCTTTTCTGTAGCTTAAACAGCAATAGCACTTAGACTTATATACCACTTCATAGTGCTTTACAACACTCGCAAGTGGTTTACAGAATCAGTATATGGCCTCCAACAATCTGGATCCTCATTTTACTGACTTGGAAGGATGGAAGGCTGAGTCAACCTTGAGCTGGCCAGGACTGCCAGTTAGCTGGCAGTACTGCATTTTAACTACTATGCCTCCACCACTCTAAATATCCCAAAATCTAATCAAAAAATGAAAACATGGAATTTTATCAGCAGTTTCTCTCCCAAATTCTCTGGCTGTTCCCTTCTGTTTGTGATGATGGTATGTTCTATATCCTGTAAACACTTTCCTATTAACAGTTGTGAAAGTAGGGATGGATGGGTTACCTTCCATTTTCTACGTGCTTCTTTGTGCTTCTTTTAAATAAAAGAAATGTTTTAAAAAGATAGGGTTGAGGAAAAACTGTACTATGCTTCTGACATGGAGTAGGGAAACAGAGATTTATTCTTTATATTATCCTGAAAGATAATTGGCTTCCAGTCTGACTGAGGGCAGAAGAGTGGAGGAGACCAGGAGATGGCAGAGCAGCACCACTAGTGGGACCTTGCATTCTTCCCTCAGGCTCTCTGGCAGTGAGTAGGGCAGTATTAGGTCCTAGTGGGCTGATTCTATTTGCTATAAGTATAGAAGGAAGAGTTCTAACTTTCCTCCATCCCAGAAGACAGCTCAGTATAATCCATCCCTGACTGGCAGCTTCTTCTGGATTTTTTTAAAAATTGTAATTGAATTAAGGGCCTTTCATATAAATAATTTCTTAGAAAGCAGCTTTGGAGCACTATGATTTCACAACATTGGCTGAACTGATTTATTTCCTACTCAATTGTGTTATATTTGAAATTATAACAAATTATAACAAACTAGCCTTTCTTTGAAAAGTTGGACTCTATATAAGCAAGCCATTTCCTTCTTTGCAGGCCCCTCTACCTCCAGGAGGTCTTTGAAGAGAAAAGTTAGCTTCACCGCTTTGTAGTATTTTCTTTTCCAAGTGCAAAGGCAATATGGAGCAGGGCAGTGATTCTTTCACTGGTAAAAGAAAAGTGATATTTATTATACACCAAATAGTTTTGAGGTCTTGGGTGTAGAAACTGGTAGTTTGTTTCCTTAAGGCATCTGGTGCCGGAAAATATTGCAGATGAAATACAGAACTACTCTGTGTGGCAACAAGGAGAAAGCCACTGAAGCATCTTTAATCATTATTACAAATGATCAATATAACATGCCTGTAAGCTTATGAATTAGTCTTCCTTAAAGAGGAGTTATACCATTGTTAGACTTTTTTGTGTGTGAGAGAGAAAAAGATAATATAATTGACCAGACTCAATATATGAAAAATCAAGAGCAAAGAGAGAGAGAAAAAAATTAATTAGCTATTAATTTAATCCATTTTAGTTGATTGTCGACTCCTGCTTTCTTTCTGCACTGATTCTAGGATGCATCTTAATACTTTGAAAAAGAAAGAAGAGGAGGCCTAATTTTGTTCCTATCATTTCTCTTATATTGTATGTCCAAATTCTAATATAGAGGGTCTTGGGGTTTCCTTAACAATATTTGCAGTCTGGTTCCTGCATGCTAACTTCAATGATGTATGTCATTTGGGACAGCAGCTTGAATCCAAATCCATTAGCTGGTTGCTTGCTAATCCCTTAGGACCAGCTGCCTTATCCCATTAGCAGAAAAGCACATGTAGCACATTTCTCTGAACTATTCAACACGACAGCTTTCATGACAACTAGGAGGACCTAAATTAGGTAAACAGAATTGGGGTTGTTTTTGTTTGACTGAGTATTTTCTACACACACGTGATCCAGCACTGGGAAGAACAGGATTGAGAAAAATGAACATAAACTTGCTGGATCACTTGAATTTCCTCTATACCTGCTACCAGAATTTTACATAAAAAAAGACATAAAGTCAAAAGAATCCCAAGTAATTTGCTCTATTCAAGTTTCTTTCTTGTTGAAAACATTTATCAAAGGAAGCTATATGATTCCTTCCCAGGTAAGGGTTTATAGAATTACTGAAATTTTAGATACTGTTTTTCTTAAGTTTCAGAATGCAACAAACCGATGCTGGCTTCTGGTAATTTCATTTCTAGGTGCTCACAAACCTGCTGCTTGATTATCATTTCCAGGATTTTCCCAGGTATTGATGTCATTCCCAAGTATTGATGTGTATTAATAATAATAAATTTTCTTGGGAGGAACTTGATATGAATGAAGGCCAACACCCGCCAAGCAACTAGCTGCTGTGATTTCACATTGTTGTTACAACAGTAACAATATTCTATTTCTTTTTTCTCTCCTAACAGTATTGTCAGTCAAGGTCCAAGTTTCTAGGCCAGACTGAAAAGCTAGAGGGAGCAGTTCCAAATAGACTCTACGCTACGTCTAAGATCTTCGAGAGGAGTAGCTTTAAATGCAGTTATCTTCATTGGCAGGAACAACTTCCATCGTGGTTAAGGAAATATAGTACAGGGATATTTGTCCAAAGAGGGAAGAGGAAAGGTTGTCAGAAAGAAGACTAGCATCTCAGAATATGTCAATGCTGTTTTGCATGTTGTGTGAATCCAATCATTGTGTTTGGGTAACCATGACTTATTGATCAATGCAACATGTGAATGCAGTCTATCTTGGCTTAGCAAACAAACTGTGCCTTAGTGTGATGCATGAAATCAGTGAGGAAAACAGAATCATTCTTTCTCTGGATGCACTCATACACAAAACCAAGCAATGTGTGCATTAGGGAAGGATGGCTAAACTGAGAGAGACATAAGATATTCTTGATTTCTGGTGGAGAATTAGGTAACTGTCCTGTAAAATTTTACATGCATTTGCTCCCCCACTCCTCTTCTCTCTCTTTGCTTTCTCCCATATCAAGTGGGTGCATGTGTCATTGATATTTGTTTTAATTTTGTGATGTATGTGCTTTTTTTTTTACCCCTAAAGTTTTTTTTTTAAAAAAATCTGTTCTACACACTTCTAAGTTACTTCCCACCTCTAAATCTTTCTTTTAATGTATATACATGCTCTGATCTGCTTTTTCAGGACAATTAAGAACCATGTATTCCTCATATGTCAAACATACAAGGAGGTAAATCAACTGAGAAAACCACTTAGAAAGCAGCTCAGAGATGAGCTGTTATAATAAAGAATTCACAAGCTCCTCATATTCAGTGCCAAACTGTGGTATATGCTGAACCAGGCGCAATTCCTGAATTCTTCCTCTCTAGTTGTATTCAAGTATTCAAATTTGATACAGGTAGTCCTCGACTTACAACCATTCATTTAGTGACTGTTTGAACTTACAATGGCACTGAAAAAAGTGATTTATGATTGGTGTTCACACTTACAACCATTGCAGCATCCCCACTGGTCAGATTATCAAAATTCAAGAGCTTGGCAACTGGCATGTATTTATGACAGTTGCGGCGTTCCGGGGTGATGTGATCACCATTTGTAACCTTCCCAGCCAGCTTTCGACAAGCAAAATCAATAAGGAAGCCAGATTTGCTTAACAACTGCATGGTTCACTTAACAACTGCAGGCAAAGAAAGTCATAAAATGGGGTATAACTCACTTAAGAACTGCCTTGATTAGCAACAGAAATTTTGGGGTCAATTGTGGTCATAAGTTGAAGGCTACCTGTATAGCTAGAAATCGTTCCCCATGGCCAGTTAGCATTAGGAAACAGACCCATTTGGCATAATTGAGAATGTCACACCTTGTGATCTTAACCATTGGTCCCTATCCTGAAAAATATCTATATCCCTAGTTATTTTTTGTTGTTCAACACCTGTGAAAGAAATGCCTTTAAAAATTAAGAGTCTTGGTAAATAGTGGGTAAGAAAGAGACAGAACCTGTATACCAGTATAAACCTATAAAGCCTCTTTAGCTGCTATTGCTATTCTTCATTTCCAGACTGCATAACTTTGTATTGATGTAATCTGTAGAAATATAAGCGTTCTGTATCGGGAGCAGAAAAAGAACATCTAAATCTTTATTTTAGAAAAGGAAAAAACTCATAGATAGAAAGAACTCCACACAGGGATTAAAATTACATTATCAAATATGTTGTGATATGAAATATGAATACAGTGCTGATTTTACTATACTAAACAAAAATGATGAGAGTTGGTGCCTACCTGTGGGTTGATATGCACAGTAAAACTCATGTCTGGTGGAGAAGTCAAAGGAACAGCATGGGATGCAACGGGGGTCGCAATTTTCTTAAGTGGACAACCTGTTGTACTGCCGGACCCTATGGAGTTCATGGGGAAGGACAGAGACTCTGATGCACCAAGAGATGCTTCTAGGTGGTTGAATTTGCTGTTTGTAACAGAGTTCCCATTTCCAGGTACAGATCTGGTATGAACTGGGAAACATGAAAGAAGAAAGACAAGAGCCTATTTTCCATATCACATATTTTCTCATTCCTCAAATAGGGAGACGTTCATGAGCAGATGTACAGGGTTTAGTTTCCTTTAAGAAAAAAGAGGATAATGGAGACTTCTGTCACCTTTGTCGTGTTTGATTATTCACCAATATTAAAACAGAGAAGTTAAGAAGAAACCTACAGAAACCTTCCTATGACACAGATCCTGCTTTTCTATACTTCTAATATGGCTGCTATTCAGAAACCATCTTTTTTTTTTTATTTAACTTCCTTGATGGTTGTGAAGTAATTTGTGAAGAGGGAATCATTGTGAAGACAAGGCTAATCTCTTATAACACTCAAGCTAGTGAAAACAGATGCTAAAGTATGTCCAAGAATATTTGGAACAACTGAAAAAGTCTCTCCATTAAACAACTCTTACGTTTTAAACCTTTGGGCCCCCCCCCCACACCACAGATTTTCCTTTCAGATGAGAAAAATCCAGTACTAAATTTTCTCTTTCAGCCATTGTCCAAGGCTGTCTTTCTGTTGCTGGGAAGTCTCAAAATAGATGTTGCTAGATGGAGAGTAAAGTAGGGTATGAAGTGCTTCCAGATCTCAATAGCTGCTCTCAACCATTTCCCTACCATTATTGACAATGGAAGGGCAATCTTTGTTTTTGTGTAGGAAAGGCATGAATTAATATCAATGTCTCTTCCTTGGCACTTCTGTCTTGCTACTCGATGCTGACAGGACATAGAGAACTGGGGTTGGTTACATCCAGAGCACTCTACAATAGTAGTCAGAATCATCTTGGCCACCAGTTTCTAAGGTCTGCCATTACAGAAGGTGCCAGAGAGCATTATGCTTCACAAAATGGTGTCTATCAGTAAGGGCAACTGATTTACCATGCTAAAGAACTCTTTGTGCTGGAATGCAATCTAGGATTCATTTCTTCTAGGTCACCCCATTTTTGATATCTCAACTTAAACTACTATTATTTACATAGTGATGTCTTGCCAAGTTAAAAGTTGAATATAATTTTGCTCAGTGAAACCAGTCCTCTTAGATTACATCATGTAGAGAGAAGCTGGTTAGAAACAGGCTGTGGTTTTAGAAATCTAAACTCTTTGAGTCCCCAAATTAAAAGGCATTCAGGGCAATTCATTAAAAAAAAATCTAGGATGGGGTATCTGCAGATGCCTTTCACTGGTGTCTACCAAGCTTACCTGATGTTTTTTAAAATATTTCAATAATAAATTAGAATAACATACTCATAAAGAGAATAAATTATTTTTAACCAAAATTACACATCCTAATCAGATTGGAGTTGTTCCAAAGAGATATATGATAAACATCATAAATTATTTTGAATTTTATTGAGAACATTAAAATAAATCATGACTATGATCTTTCTTAAAGCTTTGTTTAAAAAATGTGGATTGATCTTTTATGAGAAAGATGAATTTCAGGACTACTTTTTTCATGTGGTACAGATTACTTATAAATACTTATTAATTCATGCCTTTCCTACACAAAACAGAAACTATTTATTTATTATTGTGGTTTTTAGTATCGCCTGTTCACCGCCCTGAGTCCCGTAAGGGAGATAGGGCGGTATATAAATTTAATAAATAAACAAATAAACAAATAAATAAATAAATAAATAAATAAATAAATAAATAAATAAATAAATAAATAAAAAGCAAAGGAAATTGTAAATGGCTCTTTATCACAACAATGTCCTATACTGAAGAGGACCAGCCTAGATTGCTCCCTTTCCCCTTCTTTAGTTTTACTGACCATAGAACCACTGGCAATGACCACACTTCAGTAAAATCCCAGGAGCTAAATTAGCAACATAAAATGGAAATTACACGCTGACCATGTTGTACTTAATATTTTCTTAACCTGAAGATTCCTTAGTACTATTAATAGTGTGGCTTTGTGTTAGGTTATTGGATTAATCAATAAAAAACTGAAATACTGATATAGAATTTGTAAAGGAAGAAGTGCAATACAGTACCTGCATCTAGTGAAAGGATTCAATGTTTCTTTAAAAAAGGTTAAATACTTAGGAATGTACTTGACAAAAAAATTATTTAAAATAGCTATTTACCAAATTTAAAAAGTATAACAATAGATATCTGCAGATGGAGAATATTAAACTAGTCTTGGAAGAATTGAATATTTTACCAATACTTAATTTTCTTTCTCAGATTACTTCAATACATAATGAATGATATTAAGTGACTTGCCATATGATCCAAATACATATGATCCAATAAGAAACCAAGGATTAAAATCAAGATTTTTCTAGATAAAAAAGACCAAGTGGTATTCTCCAAACTTTACACTGTGTTAATTATTTAATATGAATTTCTGAGTAGATTCTTATTTTCCAGCTAAGTCTATGGAAGGGACAGGACTTTCACACTGCATACATATCTCTAGCTGATGCAAGCAAAACAAACAATTTATAAGAGGTCATGCAATAATAAGTAAGGTTCAGGAGAAATGTTGAAAAAATAGTTTTCTCCTCATTTGCTTTTTTTTATTTAATATTTACTTTTATGAAAAGGAAATTCTAAGAAAATCACTCAGTGGAGAGTTAATCTTGCAGTTCAGACTGCAAGATTTAATTACTAATAAAAGGAAGATTGAGACTCTTATTTTGTAATGATCCAGCCTACATGATTAGTTCCAGTAATTTCAAATAAATATCATAATATTAATGAAATTGCAAAAGTAGGGGAGAAACATGACTGATTCCACGATTAAATGGATGTAGAATTTGAATGCAGTGATAGAAATGCAACAATAGCAACTTCAATGCTAGAAAAACATTACATCTACTGTAAAATAAACATTACTAAGCCATATATATAGTATATTTTCAATATATTCTGAGATAGTTTGTAATATGCTAACTACTGCAAGGAGGGGTTTTTTATGCTTTTTTTCCTGGAAAGGCCATTTGATCCCTTCCATGTATGGCTAGCCAAGTTATGCCTTGATGTCCAGATTAACGTAATACCTCAAAAGCAAATTTGACATAGAATTCGACTCTCAATCCTTCATACATTTGCATCACAACCGCAATTTGCTATGTATAAAGATTATCTTTCAATTTTACAGAATATCTAAATCAGAACAGATTCTTAGTAATATGATTTAAAATTATTATATTTTACAATGTTCTTTGATGATTTTGTATTGACCATGGTTCTTGATATTCATTTTTAACTTAGAAATAATATTGATCTTTAGTTATTTAAAGCAGTATAACATATTCAGTTATTTACAACTAGTGTACTAAGTACTGTAATCATATATTGGAAAACTATAACTTTCATGGCATTTTTACACCTCTTAAATCTCTTTATTTGTATTTTACCCTCTCTCTCTCTCTCTCTCTCTCTCTCTCTCTCTCTCTCTCTCTCTGTGTGTGTGTGTGTGTGTGTGTGTGTGTGTGTGAAGTATCTTCTTTACTCACCTAATGACCCCTTTTTTAAAAAAAGTAAGCCTTTTGTGCTATTTACATTGAATCTAGTACTAAGCTACAGTTAGGTAAGGGTCCCAGGGAAGACATTGTTGTTATGTCTTCTGCTGCTCATACTTACTGGGACAACAAGAGTGAGGGATAAACAGATGAAGACTTAGAACTTAGAACAGCAGTTCTCAACCTGTGGGTCGCGACCCCTTTGGGGGTCGAACAACCGTTTCACAGGGGTCGCCTAAGACCATCCGGAAACACATATTTCCGATGGTCTCTATCCGTCTCCAGGCGGATAAAAACAACACAGAGAATGATTTATTTATTTATTTATTTTATTTGTTTGGATTTTTATCCCGCCCTTCTCCTTACGGACTCAGGGCGGCTGACAGCCTGGTAAAACAGATACAGAGATAAAAATACCCACTTTAAAACCTAATTAAAATGAAATATTTGATGTGGCCTGTATCAATTTAAAATTATTCTTAAAACCCCACTAAAAATTCCCCTAGGCCAATCCCGCTTGTTGGAAGAGCCATGTCTTAAGGGCGCGACGGAAGGAAGGGAGATCCGGGATCACCCGGATCTCTGGGGGTAGTTCGTTCCAGAGGGTGGGAGCTCCCACCGAGAAGGCCCTCCCCCTGGGGGTCGCCAGCCGGCACTGTCTGGCTGAGGGCACCCTGAGGAGAACCACTCTGTGGGAGCGTACCGGCCGATGGGAGGTAATCTGCGGCAGAAGGCGGTCTCGGAGATATCCAGGTCCGATGCCATGGAGCGCTTTGAAGATGATGACCAACACCTTGAAGCGCACCCGGAAGGCCACCGGCAACCAGTGCAGCTCGCGCAGCAGCGGTGTTACATGGGAGCGACGAGTCCCTCCCAACACCGC